AGAAGATTCGAAGTACTTCAAAACTGAATTCAAGAAAATTCCTGAAAACGTTTCTTTCAGACGGTATATCAAGTAATTGGAAGGTACTATTTTGAAAAAAATCCAGTTGCAACGCCTCTTTTTTCTTCGCGATATCGCCCAATTATCTTGATATATCGTCTGAAAGAAACGTTTTCAGGAATTTTCTTGAATTCAGTTTTGAAGTACTTCGAATCTTCTTTTAAAGGGAGGGAGGTTGCACAACTCTCCACGACTTCTTCTCAAAACGTTGTAACATTTTGAAGTTCTCTAGAAACGGTAACGCAATCACCTTTCCGATAGCAGAGTTACGCTGAATGGCCGAACATATACTCTATTTTATCTGCTCACATGTTGTTTAATAATGCTTAAAGAACGTACTTTGATGCATTTCGATCTCAACTTAGTTGAATTTTAGACTGGACTAGTTCACATTAAAATTCTAAATTGTCCTAATGCATTCTGTTCGGTTCAGGTTGAAATTATAGTTTGTCCTAGGACAAGTTCACATTTTCATCGGAAACCCATTGAAACTTTCGGTTGAGCTAATTTAACAAAGTCTCATATTAAATTAGTACGAATTAATCTCCACAAGTTTGAATGGTTAAGTTCACATCAAAAGCATTTTCATTTGCACTAGTTGAGATAAAAATTTTAAATTATCCTAGGAATATATCGATACATCTATATATATCTATACATCCATGCATCTATACATCTATATATCCAGTGTTATCGATTAGGGGATGGTAAACCACCCTCACGTTTGGATACAATTACTAAAAAAATTTTGACTTACTCAAATTTTTTAAGAAATTTAAGTTGAGAAACTGGCTTTTATGCACTTGAGTAAGTGATTTTCTCTCGCTTCTGAGTAAGTCATTTTTTTTCGGAGTAACTGAGTTACCCAGAAAAAAAATGCGTTACTCGATAATAAAAAATTTTGGTTGGAGTTTTTCCAGTGCAGCTTGACAGTTTTATCTATGACGTGGATGATTTAAATCAACATTTTTGCGCTCGCCATGTGTCGGAACTACACAACGCATTATACTAAAAGTTTACGGCTTGAATTCTAACAGGTTTTATTCGAAATTTCAATGAAAAAAATTGATTTTGTAAAAATAAAAATTCAGTTTGCTTTTACATGAAACATAACTAAAAATAAGGACTATGAACAGTATGTTCAATTCTGAAGTATATTATCGCTCAAAAACTTACCTTTAGTCATATTATTTAAACTTAAATGATAAATTGTTCTAAATCAAGAAGCTATTGTAAGAGTGGCAGACAGAATGTCAGAACCAGCAGTAATTGGGCGTGGAGTAAGACAAGGCTGCCTGCTTTCGCCGTTATTATTTTTAATCTACGCTGAAATGATGATGATAGAAGCGATGGACGATGTCAGTGCAGGAATCAAAGTTGAAGGTGAACTACTGAAAGACGTAAGGTTTGCAGACGACCAACCAATGGTAGCCAGCTCAGAAGAAGATTTGCAGAAGTTGATGGACTCACTTGTTAAATCTAAAGAGAAGTTTGACATGAAGATTAATGTTAAGAAGACGAAGACGATGGTAATTTCAAGACAAGGTGGTAAATTGGTTAACATTATTATTAATGGACGAACAGTAGAGCAGGTGACAAAATTCAGATATCTGGGAGCCTTAATTACTGGAGATGGAAGATGTGCTGCTGAGATAAGAGCAAGGATTGCAATGGCAAAAGATGCTTTCAATAAACGTAGAGAACTACTCACGCGAAGAATGGACAGAAAGTTGAAGAAAAAGATTATTAAAGCGGTGGTGTGGAGTGTAGTACTTTATGGCTCTGAGGCTTGGACGATAATGTCAAACGAGATGAACCGATTGCAAGCTTTTGAGATGTGGATATGGAGAAAAATGAAAAAGATAAATTGGAAAGATAAGAGAACGAATGATCAAATTCTGGTACAGGTGGGAGAAAAGAGAAAATTGCTAGGAGTGATAAAAAGAAGAAAGATAATGTGGATTGGTCACATTCTAAGAGGAAATGGTCTTTTATTGGATGTAATAGAAGGTAGAATCGAAGGAAAGCGGCCACAAGGAAGAAAAAGAAAAATGATGCTTGATGATTTGAAAGAAGGAGATGTAAATGCCTACAAAGTGATGAAAGAATACGCTCAAGATCGATTATATTGGAGAAATTATATGCCTGAAACCTGCCGCACAGTGGGCAACCAGCCGGACATAAAACGAAAGTGTTATTTTTCAAAGTTTAAGCATTGGAATAATTACTTCTGTCTCTGATCTATCTTGTCCTGAAATAGC